TTCTGGGGCCCCAGAGGTCTCCTGTACAATAAATCCTCAGCACATATTTAATCCAGTCGGATGACAAGCCTGGCGAAAGTTAAAGGATACCCGCTTATTACTCACCTATCCACCTTTTAAATGTGCTGGCCGTTACCCACCAATCCCGCACCAAATCTCTTCTCCCACCACGCCTGTCCCCCACCCAGACTGCAGGCGCTACGGGCAGACTGCAGGCGCTACGGGCTATCAGAGAATCGAAGCAGGAATGTGACTCCTGACAGACACATCTCTCAGGACCACAGACTGAATATGTTCCCAATTAGCTCCATCTGATAAAGTGTGAGTGCAAGTGAAACTCAAGGCGGGCATGATCAATAGCACTTGACTCATTTTGTCAGATGGGTTTGACATTGACAGGCCGCGCTGTGATTAATCACTGCAGTGCTGCAGATAATTGTCAAACCACATCTTCCTTTGTAGGTGTCGCTGAACTCTCACTGTCATGTCTGTAGTGCTTTGAATAATGCTCTTCACTTTCAGTTCAGGTCTTATTCATCTTTTCTTGAACTGGCATCCTTACAAAAGACAGCTTTCCCTTAATCCCCCTGTCACTTATTTAACCCATGTACCCATTGGGCCTTTTTAGTCTTTCCTAACAACATGTGCCTGGACCAGAACCGCCATCTGCTGTTCACACTGCACACTGCAGCAGATTGAGGTGAATGTGTGCTGGTTGTTTCAGTGGGGTGAGCAGTTTGATAAAAACAAGCTGCCAGCCGTTGCGGTTTTATCCTCAGAAAGTCTCTTTGGTTTCCATGCCCACAGCTGGAGGTTTTTAGGTTTACCCGTACGGGACAGCTGTGACACGGGCACTAGAGATGAAACAGGCCTCCCTCGGCACACAAACACAGCACTACACTCCCGGCCTTGTGTACAGCTGGTAGGGATGACACAAGAGGCACAGGGCTTTATTGAGTCCTGCTGAGGCTGCTGTGAAAGGCAGCATAGTGCTCTGGCAAAGCTCAGCCTGCAGGGCAACAGGAGAGCTGGCCGATGGATCGCAGGCCGCTTGGCCGACGCTGAGGGTCTCTGTAGGCCGTAGAGTTGTGTGTGTGAATGTCGTGCGATGATCTTATACAGACTATAGATGAGACCTGGCCTTCCCTCAGCTCAAGTCTCATTAAACTTGGTGAACTATTTGTAGTAAAAGAGCTGCAGATAAAGAGTAACACCCTCCTTCAACTTCTGTGTGGGACTCCCAGCTTTTCTTGACAACTCCAAACAGATACTTAACCTTTATTATATTAGCGTAGTTAATCATTTTTCCTAATTGTAGGACAATTGCTTTTACGTTGCACAGGTGAGCTACAGAAAATAAGGCTTTACTTCTGCTTAAGATCCAAAAGGCCTCAGCTCTAAGCAAGACTCTACAGTCATGCTAGCTGATCCCACGGCTGTGCTGAGGCACTGTAGTGATTTGAGGTAAATGCTAACATATCTCAGTTTACCATGTTATCATGCGGCATTTGCTAATTAGCAGTAAAGAGAAACTACAGTTGAGACTTTAGGAATGTAATTACTTGTCATGTGTTTGGTGGTAAACCAAAGGATTGGACAAATTAAAAGTGTACCCAGATGATGGTTGTAAACAAAAAGTTGTCTGTCTAGCACTGTTATTCTATTTTATTAATAAAAGGTCAGGACATTTGGAAACAAGAGTTAGTTGACCTCAAACAACATAACTTTGTAGGATAATGCTTTTAAACCTTGTTGGTAAATTACTTTCCTGCAATCGAAAGGAAAACATGTTCAGGCTTTGCCTAAATAACATATAATACCGGAACTATTCATTTTTTTGTTTTAGTAACATGTTTTTTGTTATTTTGTCACTTTCACTAGATGTATAAACCCAGTTTATGTCAAAGAGAAGAAAAGCACCTTTCTAAATATTTTAGTTTTAATGTAATCAGAAGCAAATAAAATAAGATGGAAGGGAAAAAGTAGGTGTTTTACCAGGGTCAACAGTCCTGTCACCAGCGTTGTAGATGTTTTACTGAGATTCCTATAATACTAGTAGTTTATATAGTTAATATGTTATTTATCCACACATATCTCACGCCTGGTGTTCATTATGGAGCTGATTTGTTGTTGAGACCGCAGTGTAGTCGTTTTTTCTTGCAGCCATTCCTGAAGCATTGCTTAATGCCACACTGACGATGCCTCTTTCTGCAGACCTCCAAATGAGCGAAGGCCTATCCCTCTGTGTGTGTGTATAGAGTATATTCCCATCTCTATTGTGGGAAACCTTGTTAGTTTCAACATAAGTTTCTCTTTCAGCAAAAGCGTCATCTCGGGTGTTTTATTTTTTAACTCTATCTGTCCCTTTACCCCTCACTTGTCTATGAATTAACTGCTGTCAGGCCACGCTAAAGATACTTCCCTGGAGCTTCTGTTCTCTGCCTATACTATCCTTTCATTTCTTCCCTACCCCTTTTCTTGGTTGCAAATTGTTTCCCGATCACATTTCTCACGTTTTAATGTCAGTTAAGGCTGCAGCTCTCACCCACTTATCTCGTGTGGTAAGACGTCTTTGTTCCCAACGTCCCACCCAAGAGAAACTCATGGGTTCAATTATTGGTGTTATGCCTGTAAAGATAACTGGGGATGGCAGGGGGCTTTGGGATGGCACTGGAGGAGCATGCGTTGTGGCCGGTTCAGAGTGAGTTGACAGCTGGCAGACATGTAGAAGGGAGCACAAACACTGTGAGGGGTAACAGCTTTGAAGACAGACGGAAAGAAGGGAGAATCCAGAAACAGTGAATGTTAAAGCCCCAAACATCATGACTTCATTGACATCAATTTTTCCTGTTTCTCTCCCTAAGATCATTCTCTCTTCTTGCCCTGCCTGGAGAGTTAATTATAAGATAAAGCTGCATTCCATAATATATTTTTGCAATAATTAACAGTCTAATACTCAGCAGCTCTCCCTAGCCTGGCCAGAACTGATAGCTGATTGACCTGTAAATCACTGGATGGTTTGAATTGTTATCTTTTAGTGACCTCTTGTGGCTTAAACCGGTATTAAGTGTAGGCCATGCTGGTATTGTTTCCTCTTGTGCATGCATGTGTGCATTATCATGGCAAAATGTGGTTCTGGAGAGTTTTTAATAGGAGAAAAACCACAGAGGAGGTTTTGAGCAATTTATCTTTTTGAATGTTTCTCTCTGATGATTGCATTGTTGCTACGAGGTGCAGTCACAGAACTTAACAGATGTGCAGTTGGGATCAAAAAGCTTGTGAGTAAATCATTTATTTTAATGTGTAAGTATAGTTGTAACTCACAGAAATAATATTAACTCATATTGTTTTTCTAAATTGAAATGTATTTAAAAGTGAAAACCCAAAAATCTGCAGGTGCATGTCCAGAGAGGGGAAACAAATACAAAAGCCAAACTGGAAACAGCTCCTATCAGTAAAATTAGTATTGCATGGAATTCCTCGATCACTAGAGGGCGCCACCAGTTCAACCCGGCTTAATAGTGCAACCATTATTATTTCAATACAGACTTTGTGTTTCATCTACATCGGGAAAATCTGTAAACACTTAATTTTACAAGTCTTACATTTCTTCATATAATTTATTTATTTACTAGGGACATTTATTGGACAGAAATAGGGTATAAGACGGTTTAAAGCAGTGTTTCTCAAAGTAGGGGGCGCGTAGAGGCATGACAGGNAGATCGTTGTTGTTAGCTTCTGCAGCTAGCGAGCTAGTGGCCGGGTCTCAAATGTTTTGGTCACGATTAATGTAAACAATTATTTCCGAGGCACACGTTTATATGATCATTATAGTTATAACAAAATAAGAGAATAAATGAAAAACAGTTATGAAATACTATATGACAGTAAAAAAAGAATAAAGTTTAAAATGGGAGTGATTTGTAAAATATCCATAAAGAAAAAGTAAATCTGTTTACGGTTCTGTTTCAAATGGGTGTTGAGAGATGTATCCATAGATCTCTTCAATTTTGCTCTCAAAGTTGCACAGATTGATGCTTTTTAACTTCAATATTTAAAAAACATCCCAGGGGAGCTTGCCCCCCAGACCCCCCTATGTGAGGCCCACACACCACTTATAAAAATAGCACTTTAACCCTGCTTACACCTATATGCCGTGAGCTGATTATCGAGCCTTCATTGTAACAGTGGCGGGTACACTGTGTATTTGCGTGGGGATTGTTGCCGTAGAAAATTCCACTGTAGCGGCCGGTACATTAATGGGAAACCCTAAATGTTTGAGCACCGTCTATGAAACGTCAAGCTACCCACAGCACCCCCAAAAGAAATCTCTGGCGCAGCCACTGAGCAACCCCGTTTTGAAGAAATGTGCAGTGCAAAACAGGCTCATGCAGCCACTAATGCTGTGATAAGACACACTTTTTTGCCAAATATCAGCATTTTCTTTCTTTTCATTTTTTTGCACAGATTGTAAAGTATTATAATTATTGTTCTAGCAAAGGGATTGCACAGTTGTATTATGTATTTATTTTTTTGACCACAGTTATGGAGCATTGTTTTATTATCACTGTTCTACCAAAGTGATTTTTTTATTTTTTTGAAAGGAATGCTCACGTTCATATTGATGTATTTTAATAAATGTTAACTTGGCCCATTACGTGACTATTTGTGTTGGGGGGGGGGCCCGACCTTTTTTTTTCTCCAAAGGGGGGGCCTGACAGAACAATTTGAGAACCACTGGTTTAAAGTAAAGTCAGTCATTGCATCAGGTTAGCTGTTAGCTTGTCCGCAGGAACACAATAAATTCAACATCTATGAAGAATTAAGCTTGAAATCTTTTTCTTAAATTAAATTGGTTTTTTTCCTGTGTTTACAACCAAATTACACAGTTCTTTTCAGGAAGGTTTCAGTAAATTGCAATTTATTAAATAAAACCTTTATAAATGACTATTGATCACTTCAGAAACTGAGGTGTTCAAACGGTGTAAGACTATAGAAACTTGAATTTTGAACTCAACATTTTATTTGTGTTCATTGCTAAGGTTATAAGACTCCAGTGTGTATAACAAACAATCATTATTGCATGTTTAAGTATTTCCAGTATATAAGCCTGGTTTTGCATTTAAGGATCAACCTTTTTTGTTATTGCTGGTGCAGTCTTCATCAGTCTCCAGTAGAGAGCAATGCAAAGCTGCTGACTCTGACTATGAATATCAGATGCATGATGCAGTCTGCACAGGCTGCAAAATGTCAGTTCCTCCACTTTAAAGCAAGTGGGAAAGGCAGGGTGCTGCTCCCTCATGTTGACCAAACCACTCTGCTAAATCATGTTGCTATTGCTGAGTTTGGTCCACTCGAAGATGTCCTGCTCGCACACAATGTCTGAGTTGATGAGCAGGTAGCGGTCACCCACGCAGAAGTGCTTTTGGCAGGCGGCACACTTGAAGCACTCCAGATGGTAAACCTTGTCCCGCACACGCATCGTCATCTCAAACGCTCTAATCCTCTTCTCACAGGACGCACAGAGACCGTCCTGACCAAACAGTCTGAATGGATGAAGAGACATAAAGATTATACTGAGAAAAAGATGGAAAACAGGATACTTTAAGGAGTCCATGAGTCTCCATGTCACTGCTTTTACATCTTTTAGCCTGACTTTATGCTGGAATACATGGTTTTAAATCACTTCATTACATAAAAGACAGAATAAAAGAAAATCATTATAATAATTATAAATGTCTTGAATTTTTGGTCTATACCTTTTATAAGACAGGCCCACAGGATGAGATGATCCTGCATAATGCAAAAATATTCCTGAAAACTACCAAACCGCAAATATGTGTTGCAAACTTAGCCTGGTTAGTAATCCAGCTATTCCCTGAATCATATCAACATGTTTGTATAAAATGGAGAGTTTTAGAGTGTTTCCCACATTTCTTAAAGGGTGAGCTTGGCAATATTATAAAAAATAAAGAGCTTATGTTCAACCTAGTAAGGACACATGTCACGTGTTGTAACAATGTGGCTTATTGATGTTTTTTAAATAGTTTAGTTGAGCAGACAACAATGGAGGTCTAAAATGGCACAGAGAGAGGAATATCAGACTTTTGCTATACATATGCATTTCCTTGTTGGCTTTTCATTGGATTAAATGTGAATAAAAGCCTCCTACAAACAACCTGCAATTTAAAATCAGGACCCTACAACATTATTGGACCTACCTGAGGTAGTCTCTCCGACAAAGTTTTCTCCCCAGCTTGAAGTAGAGGCGGCGGCCCACCTCCCCCAGTCGACAGCCACACAGGTCGCAGCTCAGGCAGTCTTCATGCCAGTACTGCTCGATGGCCTTCAGGAAGAACCTGTCCCCGATGCTCTGCTGACACCCACCACACGTCAGCTGAGAGGGGGGCATCTGGAGGACTTCATCCACCGGCTCCCTACAGATAAAGACAAATATAACATTGTAGGGATGCACCAAATGATTGTTTTCTTAAATACTCAATGTATGTAATTACTCTGTTAACTACAATAGAAACTGATTGGGAGATTATTGTTAATTTGTTCAGGTTTTAAGAGCAGCCCAGACTGAGGACAAAATTATCCTTCACGCACTTCCATTTATCGTTCCACTAATTATCATCTGTCCATTACATCCGTATTGAATTGCAGTTTGATGCCATCCACCTGAGGGAGCCATTGGATATTATTAAGTAATATAGCCAAATAACAAATTGTACGTTATTAACCGATCAAAACTAAAATGTCCATTTTTTTTTTTTTAATCCTTAAAGGTGGGGTATAAATCACTTCAGAAACACTTGTTATATTCCATGGAATGCTCTTAACATCCCGATAGCAATGAATACATGAAATGCTTAGAGCATTCCATGGAATATAACAAGTGTTTCTGAAGTGATTTATACCCCACCTTTAAGGATTAAANCACTCACGTACCCAGGATTCCTGCTCCTGGACCTCTGCATGTGTGTGTGCCTGTGAGCCTGGGGCCCTGAGTGCAGCGACATTTTACCTGCTTGTCCATTTGGCTATTCAAATGTTAACGAAACGGACGGATTTCCGTCCATTTGGCTATTCAAATGTTAACGAAACGGACAGACTTCCGTGCGCATCAGCGGCTGTCGGATTAAAACTGTTTAATGCGCTTTTATCACTCACACAGCCAGGATTCCTGCTCCTTTCCTGGGTTACAAAGTGGGGTGACGCAGACTGTCCTCTGGGTGGGCTCTGTGGGGGGGGTTTCGCAGCCTGCTCCTCTCTGCCTGCTGCTGCGCTCTGCCTGCCGCTGCGCTCTGCCTCTATCCACACAACTTTCCGCCACCTC